ACCCTAGAGGAGCTAATCATTGAGTGACTTTGAGAGGTCGTTCAATTCTAATACCACTACACCCATTTTCGAAATGGCTAAATTGATGCGGAATTGAACGACGTAAAATGATACATAGGATTCAAAAATATTGAAAACTAGGTAGAGTAGAAGAAATCGATATTCGGTACTCAAATTAAATAAACAAACGCAAAAGAAATTGGTTCATTATTATGAATGGCATCAGATTCATAAGATTAGACTAAATGAAATTAAATCATCGAAGAGTTATTTCTATCCTCAGCTTCCATTTCTCATGTTAATTAAATTATCGTCGAAACCTTCTTCGAATTCATGTCTATTCCGTGTCAAATTTATGCCAAAAGAAACAAACAACTGTGTTCGAATGAACTCTCGCGAAGCTAGCTCTGCAACGTACGTTTATTGAATGAATTTCGAAAATTGGTTATTTTCGAAACGAAGCATCATATGAAATAAATTTTATTCAACATTCTCGCGTGTATAATCACATCCATTCGAGTTGTGTCACCAGTTCGGAATAACCGTCTAAAAATATAAAGACATAAAATTTCAACATATGTTTCTTATCCGGGAAGACGTAGAAACGAAAATTCGCTATGGGTTCGGGTTAGGCCAGGTGTGTGCGTTCGCGGTGGCAAACGGTAAAACAATCCCCCCTTGGAGGGTTTAAAGGGCCACCGCAGCGAGCGATCCGGTTGCGCCGACCGCAAGAAAGAAACCCCACGAGTCCGATAGATCGATATTTTCTCCCTACGATACAAAACCCAGGTTCCATTTTCTTCAAGAAACAACTCGAGTCCCTCCAGGTGCGTGATTAGACGAGTTTCTTTGATTCCCACGACAATACATGGAACCATGGAACATGGACAATACAGGAACTATTTCCACAGCTTCGAATAACAGTACGACCGAAAAATCGATCTCTAAAAATGGTAAATATGGGACGTACCTACACTACCAGCCAAAAGTATGGGATCAGAGTTCAGGACTTCAGTACACTAAATCATCGATGAATGTTCAAAGACTCCTCATCACTAAAAAGGGAAGGCACGGAAGTGTCCCCCTCAGATTTTGATAACACTTCGTATGTCTTTTAAGCAGTCGAAAATAAGGGATACGTATTTTTTTTTATCGGCTGAGATGCGACTTTAAGGGATGAAAGCACCTCTCGAAGTTTCGACCCGAAAGTACTATCTCGGAAACCAGAGGTGATATATGAAAACTTCTAATGGACGAGGTTTGCAGTTTTTTATGTAGAATAATATGGTGTTAAAAAATTGTCCAAAATATAATTTGTTTATAACAAAAAAATTTGGGATCGAAACTTCGAGGGGTGGTTTCACCCCTTAAAGTCGCGTCTCAGACGATAAAAAAAATACGTATCCCTTATTTTTGACTGCTTAACAGACATACGAAGTTTCATCAAAATCGGAGGGGGACACTTCCGTGCCTTCCCTTGTAAGTGTTCAGACGTCATTTCCACCAGTGGGGGGCCCAGTGGAACCACTGAAGCGCCCAGTGGTGGAGATGACGTCTAAACACTCAGTACTGATAAACCTTCAAACACTCATCGATGATATACTGTATTCGTTACGATAGAATAAAACTTCCGCTAGGAGAAAAAGTGGCGTAAAAGAAGAGCCTCATACCACTTGGTAAATTGATTTCAAGTACTAAAATAAATGTTAAATCGAATGTTAATTTAACATATATTTCAATAATTCTCAATACCAAATAGAAGGAGGTCTCTACGTCACTTTTTCCCCTAGTGGAAGCCGAGTTTGCTCGTGAGGGTACTTATTCTATAACTTTTATTCTATCGTAACGAAATACAGTATATCATCGATGAGTGATTGAAGGAAAAGTGACGTTTTAGCACAAAACTTTTATCAAAGCTTCGTAAAATAACATTTTCCACTGTCTTTAATTATGAGACCTGGTCCCGTACTTTTCGCCGCTGGTGTACGTGTGTGTGTACACATTGTAGTTTCGCGAACCGCGAAATCGGCCAGCGATCGATTCGGGGAAACTAAATTTACAACACGATCCCGCGACGCCGACGTCGAGTCCCGGGCTAACGCGGATTTTATGCAACTATATACGAAGCAGTAAAGCGGGGGGCGGCGATTAAAGTGATCGAGCGGACCGATAAGATTTCGATCACCGCACTCGAGGCTCTATCACGCGTACCGCGGACGAGCATTTCTTTTTTTTTTTTTTGTTCGCCACGAAGAAATGGCGGAACGGTGACGTGCACTCTAAAACGAAGCTGCCCACGCCGTTTTTTATTTTGTCCGTAGTTTGACGTGGAAGAGTCTGAGTTCTTGTTGACGTTTTGAGGAGGGGGCTGATTATGCTTCGAACGAGGCGGAGAACGCGAGGAACGGGTACACGGTGCGCGGATTAAAAGATTAGAAAAAATAGCGTCAAGTGAGTCGCGATGATGCCGAATACATCGGAGATAGAAGGAAGAAAGGACTGTTTACGTTAATAAAAATATGAGAAACGATCAGAGAAAGGAGAACGAAAGAGAAATTACATAGATGGAAGAAATACAGTAAATCCTGGATGAGTGCTTAAAGGCTCCTCGGCACTGAACGTTAAATACTTCGAAAACTATAATGGCTATATGCGGCTGAAACAAATATTATTGGGTTCACAATTCCAAGCTTTATTACTGTAGTAAAACCCATTAAAAAGTTGGTGTTACACCTGAGGACCTCTTATCAATTCCGTGGAGCCTTCCAACACTCATCGATCATTTACTGTAGTAGGCTAAAGATACCTAATACCACCCATGTTCCTTATATCGCCACTCGTTATATCTCGTGAAACAGACACTAAAATTTATTGGTCATGAGGAATTACCTAACAATATGCAGGAAACCATACTGTAATTGCAACGTCATGTGATCAACAATTAAAGAAAGGGAACTATTTTAATGAATCTTAACAGTGTAAAAATGCATTGAACTGCGATAATGTTACATCACATTCGGTAAGTAAGAATTCTGTGGATGCATGAATATCTACTAGACGTATTTAATTAAGGATGTACATATTATTTCGATCCGATTTTAGGAGTAAAAAAATAGAAGTGCCCGGGGCTGTTGTAAAGTACATATGTGCTAAGAATAAAAGAAAATTGGGATCTGAAATCGAACACAAAAAGTTCATGACTCGAGAACGAGACGTGGCATTAATTCGCGTTACTGTGAGCTGTTTAAACAATTACGAGTAAACGGAGGAAATAAGATATCGAGAGGAAAGAAGAAATCTCGTTGAAGTCGAAAACAAGAATAAATAGATGGTCACGAGAGGCAGTCGCCACAAAATAAAAGAAAATATAAAAAGACCGATAGAATACATATTGGACAAGAAGAAATCTCGTTAAAGTCACAAACGAAACTCGAAAACGAGAAACAAACACAATGCTGGTGGGGGTTAAACCACGCGCAGCGAAAAGGAAGAAGACATAAAATAAACGACGATAAGTAATGTGGAATATACGTATGTATGTATCAAAGGGGATATCTAGCTCAAATCAAGCACGAAGCTCGGGAACAAATAACAGTATGCTATTAAAAGGTATTTGCCTACACTGACAAAACGGAGAAAAGGAAATAGACCAGAAAAGAGTATGGAATATGTATCAGAAGGAAAAGAAGAAGATTGCAGAGCGAAATCAGATACAGACCTCCAGAACAAGGAGCAGTATATTACCAAGGGGATACCTGCGCCAGTTAAAAAGAGGCAGAGAAAATCTAGACCACCGTAGGTCGGTGAAAAATTTCTGTACCTACATACACCACCGCGAGAAAAAAAAGGGAAATACAGAAGAGATTAATACGAACCGTGTACAATTTCATGAAAAAGACAATCGTAGATCTCGCGCCTACAAATATATCCGAACGTTTCCCCAATATCAAGTGGTTCGATGAAGCGAGGTGAATAAGTAATAACTGCTAAGAGTTAGGCCAGTGAATAATGGAGCAATAACGGCGCGGAAGTTAGAGAATTAGTAAACAGCAGGGGACAAGTTGGCAGCATGCCTAGTGTGAATGAGCCCATCGGCGTGAAACTGAAGATTAGGACGTAGCAAATTAAAAGTATACCTGGATACACCAAATTGTCGAGCAACGACGAAAAAAGTCCATACCGTTGAACATTTAACCACTCAACTACACGAAGGAACGATGAAACGCGTCGACGTTAGCGATATTTTCTATCGTTCGAAAAATGATAAAACAAGATTCACCCAGGCGCAGCCGAAACTGACAGCCGAAATCCAATAAGCACCACTGTCCACTGATTTCTCGCGCGAAGAAACGCGGTCACCATAAAAACCAGAAGTCAGCCGATGTCCAACAAGCAGCCGAACGTCGCAGGATCATGCAACTTGGCACACAATCTTATATGAATTCCCATAACAGTTACCGGGCGCCTTATCTTCCCGCCTTTACCTCTCCACTCGTGACGAACTTTACAACCATCCCCCCCCCCCAATGCTCTTCCACCCGACACTCAGCGCGGAGACCTAGTCAGCGGTCATTTTACGATCGTCGTATTGAGATTCCGTCCGAGGAAGGCGAGCTCCGAAATGACAGTGGGTGGAAAACGACTTGACACACCTGCTCCCTCACGAAAGCTAAGTACACGTGTCCTCGTAAAGTCAGCCAGGCCGCTTGGATACTCTCACGATTACACCGGGCAATAAAGGCTAACAGCGTTCGTGGGTACGTGAAGAGCACAGGTCCGTGAACATTTCCCGTGACGTATATTGGCCAATTCCTAACCCCGTTCGGTGTAAATATACAACGGACATGTTTCTTCCGGGCCCTTACCACCCAGAAATTTGTCAGGCCATTGTTGACATTCAACCTAACCTAAACCACGTTCTAGACTAATCTTGTTGAACAACCGATGGTCCAAAGGAGGGTCCCTCAGTTTAGGGGTCGGGAGATGATTGCTCGATTTACCTGGCGACGGGTCGTTCAGCGCGGCTGTCCATGTCACGATGCAGAACACCGAAATCGCGAGAACTGGCAGCATATTGCTACGTGGACGACGCGGCTACGTCAACTGACTGGCGATACGCCGCCGGTGCTCTTCGGGCGCTTTGCCGCCAACCGGGTGGCGCATGCGCCCTAACGTTCAACTCCCCACTCTTGCCGAGAAAGAAAATGTATCGCGAAATATCTGTTTACAATTGTCCCCCTCTGACGACATGGCACACGCGGGGACAGAGAAGTGCCTACTTCGACGCCAAGAGAGGCAACAATTCTGAGGCCTCCCGCACCAGTTACTTTCGTGCTAATTACATTAAAGTCTTAATTACTTTAACGATTTCCCATTCGTGCCGTCCCCCCCCCCCCCCCCCCCCCCCCCACGCACCACCCAGCGGCCTCGCTGACTGGAAGTCTTAAAAGACGGTTAATTGCATCAGAGGCCTAGACGACGGATTTATCGGGGATAAATAACGGAATTGTTTAATTGAAACGTCGCCGAGTCTCTATGATCGTGCGACGATCCGTGAACGACGCGACGCAACAGTCCCGCCGTGTGTCAGACGATTCTTTTGGGAATTAATTGCAATCTTCGAACTATTCGCTATTTTGCGCCAAGAATACGCGAAGAAGCTACCACCTTAAGTTACTAATTACTCCACAATCGGAAAAATAGGGGATTACTTTATTAACGCGCCGAATAAATGAAAACTTCTCAAGCTTCCAGAGATCGACTGGTCTGAAAGCGTAGAAAGTTTCATCTATTTCAAGATTTTCGGGGTTCCCCGATGTTTCGGAAGTTCCGAGGCGCATCACTTGAAATTCTCGAGAGTTCTCGGAGTCTTCTGTAACTCTTTAGAGACACGTCTGAAGCTTCCGTTACTTCGCGTTTCGTGTTGTTTCGCCTTCGCCGTAAGTCTAACCAATGATACGACGGAATTCTTCGCGTGCAGCTAATTGTGCTTGCGGAAAACTAAAAATTGTTATTGCAATAGGTGCACGCCTGAAAGTAACATTGATTAAAGGCTTCCACAAGATCGGTTCTCCCCGACAGTTTCGATATTTTTTTCCAATTATTTTTTTTTTTTTTTCGCCGTTCAAGGAACGCTGATCGAACAAACTCATTCTATATTTCGCAAGGAAACGCTAAACTCCGAAGTTATAAATCTTTTTCCCTTTAGTTTATCCCTCTATGCATACAGAACGGAATTTCTCCTTTAATTTGTTCCGTTGTTTTCCTCGGCGCATTAATCATCGACGCAAAAGAAAAACCAGAGGCCTCCCGCCGTTCAACTTTCCTCCGTTCATTTTTATTCCCCGACGAACTTGTTGTATTCCTTACGCATTAACGAACGGAAATTGACCGCCGCATAGGAAAGTTTTGATCCTACTCACGGAATACTTCTATCGCTGCGATTTCCCCAAGTTTAACCGATCGTAAACCGGCCGGAATCATCGAACGCACCGGTTGTAACGAGGAACCAGTCCCGTTTACGAGAATGGTGTCCGTAGAACGTTGTTGCTTCGTTCCCGCTGAAGCCCCGAAAAATATACGGCAAGCTTTTACGACGTTGTTTATGCCATAATATGTACACGCGTCGTTTCGTTGTTTCATCTCGCTGGAATCGCGACGTCACAGGTCCAGAATCGAAAATTTTAGCAGCTCGTACGATTGTTCAGCTTGAACAATCAAAAATTTGGAACTTAGAGTAACGACACGGAATATGAAATCCTATAGTATTTCCACAAGTAAGTACAGAAATACTGCAGCAATATTTACAACCAATAAAAAAAACGACCACATCGTCCGTATGATATTGCCATTCACGTGGATACGATTGTTCAGTAAGACGCCTAACCTTTTTTTGGGGGGATATTCCCATTCGGAGGGTTCAAAAATAAATTTTCTTTTATTGTATTTTTTTAAAGTACTTAACACCTTAGTGTACCGCTACACGAGTAAATGTGTTTTCCTCGAAACTGTGTTTTTCAAATTGGATAATAAACAATAGTAGATTATAAAACTAATATTGTTCCTAAATATGTAGAAATGACTGACGAATATGGTAGCATAAATACTTTTAATTTTTTTCCTTTTTATTGTACGATACATAATCAAATATGAAGGGGGTCTCGTATCCGGTGTAATTACCCTATATGTATATTTCATTGAAAATGGAAGTAGATAAAGGAACAGATTTTTATCAATTCTAGCGATCCTCTTCGATGACGTCATCATTCACTAACAGTGTTTTCTCAACATCTTCGTAAAAGTCTGAATTAGGGAATTTTTTTTTTTCTATATTTCACTGAAATTCATAGATCGAAAAGGTCCAAGGAATGTTTTGTAAAATAACAGAAATTTCTTTTCAACCATTTCAGCTGCTAAATTTTGATTCTGGGCTACTGTACATCAGTGGCACGAGGCGGCCCGACATTATGTTTGATTACTATTTCGTGTGGAGCGTTCAAAAACGCAATGACACCGGAGAACAAAAAGTGAACGGAATATTCAGGCTCGCGTGATGGTAAAACTGTGGAAAATCCACGGAAATGGCCAGTCGTGAGCAGAGTGCTGAATAAAGATGCATGTAGAAGTTGAATTATTGGTAGTCATTTGATGGACTTGCGGAAATAAACGGAATAACTGAACCACTTCTGCCGCGTAAAATACTCTTTCGCGGTTCTTTTAGTGTAGATCAAAGTGAGAACACCAGGATCATTCGGTGTCTTGAGTGACTTGAGGGAAAAATCGGAAGCTTAATACGATTCCGAGAGAGAAGACTCGCTGAATTATGCACCGTGGTGAGAGCAAGAGTGAGGATCTCTTAGAACACGTGAAATTACTTTATTTTTTATTCCTTGGGTGGCTGTTGGGCTTCGAAACGACGGGAATATTTGCGTCGAAACGATGAAATATTTGATACAAGAATAAACGAGATCTTGACTTTCTTCTTACACTACTGAACAATAGTTCGGGTTCACTGGCTAATTTCTACAAAAATTGAATGGTCCGATGAATTTTGTACTGACCCATCGTTAATATGCTAAATGTTAACAAGAATATATTTTATTTCAAGAGATTTTAGAATTTGTTTATATTCAAAGTATCTATATAAGTTATAATCTCAACTTAAGAAAACACTTGGCCTGATCTTTCCTACTACTTGCAAAGGCATTCTGTTTTCGTGTTATATAGAAACACGTGATTCTTTTGTTTATCCAATAATAGTCCAGTGCAACAATATTAGATCCTAATGTCCAGAATTTATAAAGGCAATACAAAAACAATATTCTAAAAAATAGTAAATTACTAATTGGTACCCCCATTGCTTAATGAATTTCAATAAAACATGACTCTGACGTTTACAAACATTTTAATAATGTCAATTCGTTTAAATGTTACGCATGGTTGGCAATTTTTTCTGTTTGCACGAGAATTCTTTTTTCGCCACGCTACGATCGTAGACGTGCCAGCCGCCGATTCTCGTCTCGTCGCTGAACAGGATGACCGTAAAAAGGGGTCGAATGAATATTTCGTATCATCCGATTGGAAATATCGTCGACGGTCATAAATCCATTTGATTCGATGAATCCGAATTGTCACGCGGTAAATACACGAATCGCAACGGTGAAACACGAAGCAGCTTGCGGGGGGTCCATTGTTACGGAAAACAATTATTTGTTTTCATTACTCCGCGTAGCTCGCCACGCTCCGATGCACCGCCGAATTTTCCACCTTCTCTGGTTTTTGTAGTGTTTTTTTTTTTTTTCGTTCCCTCGCCCCCGCCGTTTGCGCCTATTCCCGGTATCGCGACACGCATACTGCTACTCCGTTTTGTTTCGACCGACGTAAACCGGTCGGTCGTGCGATTCGAAGGATGCACACGCGAAATGGGAATCACTCAGCTAAATTTCCCATGAATTCTGTTTCTGCTGGAAGCGTTCAATTCTCCCGAGACGGCGGGGTGAGGGGGAGGGGGGGGGGGGGGAAAGAAGAAAAAAAAATGTCGTTGCGATTGTTCCACAGACGTTTCAATTATGCAGGCCCGTGCCCGAAAAAAAAACAATGGTCGAAGTAAATTCGCGCGAACCATTGCGGCGAAAACATACTTCATTGTTTCGTAAAATGAGTCGAATACCATGTATGTATTGCTCACACGCTGCGAATAGCTTTGTAAATTTACATCCTTACATTCTATTTTGCTAACGTTAAAATTTAATAGAAATTGCATTTCGTCTGTTGAAGAATTTTGAACGTTCAGGATTCAATAGAAATTTTCGAATACTAAAGAAAACGCTGCTAAACGGTGATGCTAAAGACAATTTGTAACTCGGAATTGTTGAAAATTCAGAGTACACTCAGCTCAAGTTAATATACACAACACAATTATACAGAGTATAGTCAACAAAATGTTCCAGAAACTAGTCGAAAATGATCGAAATCATCGGTGAATTCGACGGTAAATGGAGTCGTGTATGGTTACCAACGGCGGCCATATTGACCACTCGTCCGCAATAATGCATCGACACAAAGGCCATTGTATTTCAAAGGCGGAAATTTACTCCTGACACCAAAATTAACGTGTTTCTTCATATTTTCGTTTTATAAATTGATTTTAATAACTGGAAATCATTTATTATCTTTCACAAAGAAAGTCATATTACATACAATCGAGCTACTCTGATTCCGAGCTATAGTACTGGAAACAGTTATAGCAACACTTAAATATTAAACACGTCAACATTTACCGTATACCGTATCATATACTGTACCCTTATTAATAGTACATAATACTATTACTGTACTACATAATACTACATAATACAAATGTACTAGGACAATGAACTAAAACACATATTTGTGGAATTTGGATGGGCTTTGTGAATCAGGAGATGAAGTGCAACATAAAAATAAAATGGTACAGATCTAATTAAATATAAAATGATACTTGAGATTGGAGATAACTGCTCTAAAGATGACACGCGTTATTTCTGCACAGACGTCCAATTCCACACTATTATACAACTAACCCGCACTGAATA